CGAATTATCACCGCAGGAACTACTTCATGAGATCTCAACTTATTGGGAGCGACAGCGTAGCAGTGATGTAATCGCGAATGGACAATACGAGGACAATATAGAAACAAACAAATGGCCATCTTTAGAAAACCTTAGAACATCAGATTTGTAGGCGATCATACGTTAGTATGGTCTGGTAGTTAGTTATAGCTGGTAGTCTGGGAGAATATTAGTAATTAATTTATCCGTAAATATGGATTTTGAGCTAAATTGTTGTGAAAACCCTGCATTAAACGTTTTCTGGTTCGGTATTTTCCGGCCTTCCACCGTTCCTAGTTTTTCAAAGTTGCCAAGAACGTTACGAGATTGCAATGCAGTTCTCATTGGCATTGCAGCTTTTTCACAACACAACAACTACAAACAGTTGTGGATCTTTGTGATCGACAAAAACCACTCGTTCTGACGCATCGACGCATGATCTAGATTCATTATAAAGTGTATATTTGACATTCAAAATGATAAGATTTATCTGCTTACATGTATTTATTAATATTTCACTTATGCATTTACCGCTCACTATGTATGTAGAAAGAGGCTAAGAAAAATAATATTTATACGTACAATAATTTGTTCTGTGATTCACTCATCTTTTTACATATTTTGCCGGTGTGAACGTTGTCGGTTAGAAATCGTATCCAATCTGACTGGAAGATGTCATAAGGATATCAGATTGTGAGAATGTTTTTACAAAAGAACTATAAAATATGAAATATTCATAACTAATACCAGTTGTGCTTGTGCCAGCCTAAACGTCCGAAGTTTTAAGGCATTTCAGAAATTCCGTCATTTCTCTCTTAATTCGTCAAAAGTTATTTCGGTCAATTCGAAGCCACATTCGCTTTGATCATCTTCAAAACTGGCAATGCTTAGTGTCGTGAGCGTTGATTGGCTGGCTTTATCCCAGGGGATGATTGGCGTAAAAACGTTGTCATAGAGACTGGGCCGGCGAAATAATTGCCGGTACCCAGTCTCTTTCGCCCTAAATAAGCTCGAAACAAGTTTGATTGATTTTGGTATGTTGAACAAGCGTGAACTTGCGCTGGAAAGAGAACTCTCAGGACGAGATGAATCGTGATCGAAGCTCGCGTGTAGTTCCGCGCGTTTTTCCTCGTGTTCGTGTTGTTCCGTATTATGTTCGGCGTCAGGCGAATAATTAACAATAACGTCACCGACGGAATGTCGATGGAAATGCCTCAAGACTTTCTGGTTAGCCCTGGACGGTTTTCTAAAGCATTTCAAATGGAATGAACATCTAGTAATTTGTCGCACTTTAGGTACATAGAGGACAGCAAGGCATATCGTAGGGTTAATAAGGATAATTAGATACATAATGAAGTCAAACCAGCCTGAGTCGTGGCTGCATTGGGGACTCAAAATCGAACAGCAAAGCAAGGCTGTGTATGACAGAAATTCGACGAAGATCAACCACGGAATTTTCCAACTTTTTTGAGCTCCGTGATTCTCGGTCAACGCTGCCACATTGAGGGATAGAAGTAGACTCCAGGTGTAAGCTGTGGATGTAAAAACGCTTGCATCTCTTAGAATGGAACACAGCTCAGTGCGTGAGAAACACGTGGGATTTTCAACTTTCGAAACGTTTGAGAATGGAATGGTAACCATGGTGATCATGACTGACAGCATTACGAAGACAAAGGGATAGACGAATCTCCTGCGTGCCTGCAAGGCAGATGACTGCAATTGTTTAATGATGTGGCCTGCCTGTTCGCAGGCTGCCTTGCGTCCCGAGCGAGTTCGGGTAAAATACGGTATTTTTGTGAAGAGCAAGCCACAGTATATCGCGAACATGATATTTTGAACTAACCACCGACACAGGCACTTCAAATAGGACATCTTCCCAAAGTGAGTAACTGGTATTATGCAAAACAGAGCCGTCAGAATTAATATCCCATTGTCAATATTCGAATGAGAAGCTTTGACCAAGGGCGACCCACGATATCGTAGAAAGTAAATTAAGCAAAAAAGTGCGGCAACAAAAATGACGAAAGCCACAAAATAAAGCGGGAAAATCCAAACGATGCCCCAGTGCATTGCGCCGATGAACTCTTCTGTATTGGAATTTCGACCAGGAGATAAGATGTTGCGGAGTGTTGCTTCGAATCAACATCTACCAACCAAATGTTTGCTTTCTGCTGCACATTTCAACAGAACGCTTATGTACGTCGTCTAAATAATTGAGGCTTTAATTGGCAGAATGATATATTATACTGAGGTGTTCTGTTAAAGTCTTATAATTAACAAATCCACTTCGCCGAGCAACTTTGTTGTTCTAGCATAAGCGGATTCCAAAGTTCTAAGAGGATTTCATTAGAACCGCTTTTCCAATTGCTTCGAGCTATTCTTCTTACAGTTTATCTCATCTAAGCTTTCGCTGACTCGTATAAAATAATTTTTTCTAGACCCCTGGTTGGGCCTGCTATGACAATCGTGCTATTTTTGGATTTACTTTCCAGCCAAATAACCGCATATCAGATAACACGAATGTGGAATTGTGGAACACAATGAATCGGTATTGTGGGCTGAGTTTCACCAGAATCCTCAGGAAGCGAAGTCCATCTGGAAAGGGTAGTGTCGCAGCTCCTCGCAAGAATGATTTTCATTGGCTGAACTTTACAAAACATTTCTGTTTCAACCATTAGCATAGCTTCGTTCTTTGGAAACCATAGAAGAGCATCATCCAATTGGACGAAAGCTTCCGAGAGCTGCGACATGTCCCACTGGAAAAATTGTGTAAAAACTGCAGAAAATGTTACTTTCTCTAACCATCTAAGTTAAAAGATATTTTTTTATACATAAGAACAAAAAATTGTTCAAGGAATCCTTTTCAAGTTAGCGTGCAAAATCTTCATTGAGTGGGTCTGGCAACTATTCAAAAGCCTACTACTTTGTCGTTCACAGTGTCACCGTAATGTAATCCTTGTGTGTCACAGATTTATTGCACCTTTCTAGGGCCATCTTCAAAGATCGAAATGTCAGGGCCACTTTAACACAATAATACCATTGCGAAAAGAAAATCGTTATTTGACATTCACGCATGTCGTAACCTTTGCAGTTTAATTCCGAGAAGTTTAGAAGATTGTAGCTGTCTAAATCGATATCGTATAATTGTTCTTTGCGCTGAACAAACTAATTTGACAGATTTGATTTGGGCGACACTGGTGTCAGGACTCAGGAGAATTTACAGATGGTAAACATTGTCGTTTGGTAGCGAAAGAAATCGCGGCTTTTGTCATGTCAAGACATGTTCACGAGTATTACAACGAATTAGCAGTTGGAAACGTACGTCAAACTGAGCCCGTATAACAGCTTTTGCACAAAGCCTTGATCCCATGCAAACCTGGGAAGTCGCCAAATCTTCGTAGTCTTGGCAATGACAACTTATGACTGATTTTTTAAGACGATTTACTTGTATAAAAATCAACGCAGTTCTTAACTCACAAAAACGTATTCAGCTGGGAACGATGACTAGGGCCTGAAATGTGCGCAGTTTTCTAATGAATGGATTCACATTATGGCTTATGCATGTCCGGTTTATTTATGATTTGTCCTCAATGTGCATTTCACATCAACTTCACCGCTTGCACGGTGTATGGGGTAGCAAGTAGCAGCTAATTCTGTCAACCAAACTCCTTATCTGAGCACTTTAATAATCCTCTTCCGTCCTTGCACACGAAATTTCTGAGTGGGCAAAGATACGACCATTTTTAGTCATTTTGGACTATCGTTTTAAGTGAAGTACTTTGTGAATAGTTAAACTTGCTGAATGATCGATAAATCTGTTCGCAGACTGAAAAAATTCAAACACGAACCGACGAAATATTAACTCTTCAAAACCTAAATGCAATGGCGTGAACAGACTATCATGGGATGATGATTTTTAACTATCGACCGGTATACCTGGCTTTAAAATTGTTTTCCTATGGAAAGTATGAGTTGGACAGATTGGAAGAGCATTCGTATATATCACTTGAGAACAAGACTGCTTCAAATCTTTCAGCAGACACTTGATCTTCCGCCTGATATTAATGCAACTACCGTCTAAGTCGATCGGAATTCTGCACAAATAAACTGAACAAATTGATCGTGTGTGTAAGGTATATAATTAGGTGTGAATGTGGTTGATAAATGTGAGAGTGGGAAATTGTAAATGCAATACGATCGTCATCGTTAAAATTATAACAGATGGTTTTGTTTTCCACAACTATCTTGGCTGGACCAATAAACAGCTTATTGTATAATACTACCTACACTGTAGTGACTGGACCACCACGTTGAAAATATCTTTCTCAGGTAGTTCAGACACAAAGCACAACATGTTATTGTAGACTACCTACACCGGACCATCACATTTGAGATATCTTTTTCACGTAATTCAGACACGAAGTATGACAGCTTAATGAGCTTCAGTGTAGAATACTACCTACACTGGACCAACACATTTGAGATATATTCAAACACACCAAGCCATCAACACTGGGCTGCCAGCTGTAAAATATCATTTTAAGCAGGAAATTCACACACGCATGGCAAAGAAACGGGACTCAAGGACTTTTGCCAATTTTGTTCGCAGCCATTGCCTAAATATAATTTTATTCACAGCTATTGCTTAAATGTAAAGTATGCAAGAAAACTTCTCGGATTTTCGGCTGAACCTTTATCAGGACTGTTCAGAAGTTTTGTTGTATATTTAAGACAAAATTTCATGACAATTTACGTTAAGAAGCTGTCACAATGCAATCTGTTTATCTTGGAACGTTTTCATATTAGACATTGCATTCATGCGTTGTGACACAGACATTTATTAATCCTAGTATCCCACCTCGAGGCGTGATTATGGGCGTCACCGTGACAGAATAAAGTTACGAGATGAAGTACGAACGGATTTCCGGGATACCGCTAAAGACCACAGCTTTAGACTGAGGGCTCAAGCAGGTCACCTTTGAAAATTCGAAAACAGGAAAAAAGTTGATTGTTGCTGGAAATACGCTTTTGGTGAGCAAAATGCCAACGAAAAAGAAGTACAACGCCAGATTCCCACCAGTATGTTGTCTCTACGGCATTCAGCCTTGATTTTACAGCCCTCGATCGTGTGATCATCGTTAATATTTCTCCTTCAGGCTCGGATCAAGAAGATAATGCAGACGGATGAAGACATTGGAAAAGTAGCAGCACCTGTTCCGGTAATCCTTTGTATCCTTTTCAGGAAATTTGTTCGTTTTTTCCTGCAATACGACTGTGGTATATCGCTGTGGAACATCATTGTTTGTTTTCGCAGGAAGTGTATGTACGGGGATGTAAATGCGATGCTTTGTTTTGATTGCGTTGAGTGTTTACCTTCTTGTAATATTTAAAAATATAATTAACGGGATGTTAATTGGCACCGTTTGACAGATGAAGTTTCTGGCATGTGTCTGTTTGATGCCTGTCGTTTGATTCCTGTCTTTTGATGCAATGATAAACAGTATTTGACGATCTAATCATTTCTCTTGATTGGGAGATTATATTCTCTTGAACTGTCATGAAAAAAGTTTAGACAGTGCAAAGGTATAACACTCACCCACTTCCCCAGTCCCCACCCTACTCCCCTTTTCAACCTACTGAATGTCAGCCAGTTTATACTTCTCCAGAGTACAATGATCTCTTCATAGCAGACTGGCTTTTTTCACTATGGATAATATTTACATGTTAAATGTTTGCATGCTTTGGTAGTTGCGTCCGCATCCCTCCTTGGTAATGATTTGGTAGACAGTAATGGTATCTGCTTATGGACCATCTTCCTTTCCCAATCAGGCTGGGTTTATTTCCAGCATTTTTAAGCTTTGGTGGCCAGCTCCAAGGATTGCTACTTGAATCTCTCTGAGCTCTGCCTGTGTCTTAGAAAGACACAATATTAATAATGTGCAAATTTTCTAGGTGTCTGGGGGAAACCCCTGCACCTCCTACATCCTTTCATTCTTAGAAAGTTATCTCTTGTAAAAGAATTGCAAACCCTGTGTAAGAATCTGCATTTCCAGTTGTTCAATGAATCTGTCTTCTTCATTGGGTAAATCAATGAATATATTGTATCACTTCACTTAGTGTAGGATAATTGCTGAAGGGTTAAAGAGTCTTAATTTTGAGTGTAAATCATACACATCTCAAGTTCAACCATCAGTCCCCTATGACACCAGTGACCCATTTTCTCAGCTATTGCTAGTTTGAAATAAAGTATGATTTTCATTCCAAAATAAGGCCCTTTGACACTAAAGGTACCATAGTATGTCTATTCACAGTATTTGCATTCTATTCACCAATATTCCTTAACCACATAATAGCTAAAGCACTTGAAATATTTATGCAGTCTTTACTTGAGACGGCTAGCAAGAGCACTCATGCAAGACATGCAAAGACAATGTCCACAGCTCACTTGTATGTGTATATTTATTGTTATTTTAACAAGTAAAATAACTGTGGAGCCATTCACAAAAAATGTGATGCTCTGAGGTGTAGAGGGGAATGTGTAACAGTGTTGGATTTGGACAGGAGTGATGCGGTGTCACAAGTGAGGCATCACAGGTGGGGCATCACAGATGGGGTGTCACAGGTGGGGCATCACAGGTGGGGTGTCACAGGTGGGGTGTCACAGGTGGGGTGTCACAGATGGGCATCACAGGTGGGGTGTCACAGGTGGGGCATCACAGGTGGGGCATCACAGGTGGGGCATCACATGATGGGGATGGTGCCAAAACGATGGAACTGCTAGGACATATGTACATGGTAGAGATTGTTGTTAACTATCCTGATGTTGTTAACAGCCTTATGTTATGCTTTTCCCACGAAGAAGTACATGTTGACAAAACCTTATCAAATTGGAGTTACATTGCTATTTATTGGGTTAACATAAAGTCTCAACAACCACTTCCACTTTTATATAATTTTTATTTTCTTTTGCACCACAGAAAGCAGTGCATCACCTCCGAAAGCCAGTTTGATTTTTTGAAAGAACTTGTGGAAAATATTCCTGACCTTCCAACAAATGAAGAGGAAGCAGAAGATCTTGATGAACCTAAGCCTAAAAGGTTTGATGTGAAATCTTGCTGTAAACTTGTTCATTTAGGAGTTGATTTGACCAAATTTTTATCTTAGTAAAAAAATACATCTCAAAAATGTCTTCATAAAATTAGTGAAATTGCAATAGTTGGTTGTAAATTATGGATGATGGGGAAGAATATGGACTAGTTTTAGTAGCTTGTTTCCATTTGTAGAAATTAACTTGAATTATGTACCGGCTATTTGTCCGTTTATGAAATGAAATATAGTAGCAAAAGAGTTCATTTAATACGTTCATCTACCCCCAAATGAGACAGCCATTAAATTAACGGCCTTAATCTGCCTTTTTGTTTTGTCTATCTCATGTACATCATAGGAAAAAAGTGACTTCTGGTGCGACGAGCACACGAAAGGAAAAGGGGCCACGAAAACAGAAGATAAAAAAGAACAAAAATGTCGACTCTGATTCCGATGAAGACGATTACGCATCAGATGTAAGTACGGTTGTTTTGCGATAGCTTTCTTTTGTGATTTGTGTTATCTTTAAACATGTGAGGATTAAAGGTTTAATGACGCGTATTTTCTTAAAAGGAAGAGGGAAGCTCAAATTCTGCGGGGAGTAATCCTCCTGTCGTGCCAACGCCAACGACGAGTCGTCTGAATACGAACCCGACAGCAATAAGCAATACGTCGACGTTTACGAAATCAATGATTGAGAACCAGTGAGTGAAGTTACGGCCTTTTACGGGTTTTTATGTTAAATTATACTTGATGAGATTTCTGAGCGTTGTAAAACTCAGAAGTGATTGTCCTCAACCCAAACTCAGGGAGGAAAATATAGAAGCCATGGCGCCAATTTGCAGTGCGATTTATTTTTTTTTAAGTTTAAGATTACGTTTTGACTTTTTAGCAGTAATACTAAACACTGGACGTTGTTTTATTTAGCAATTTTAAAACTGTTTTTGGTTACGAAAACGTCAAAACTAAACTTCAACTAAAGCCTAAATATTTGAGAATCTACATAAGTAATTTCCTATAATTTACCGGGTATTTTAGCCGCATGGCAGTTGTTTATATATTTTTTAAGATATTCGCATTTATGCTGAATTCTTCAAATTGCCTCACCTTTTGAGGTCAAGCAATTTTGAGGTCAAGTATTTCAGTTCAAACATTTTAGCCTCGGGCAAATATGGAGAGGTTTACGTTCCAGTTATATTAGTCTTGAGTGGGAATAGATGGAAAAAAAGCTCCCATTGTAAAACCAGCCTATATTAAGGGGCTGTTTACATGAGCCCGGTTACCCGAGATTCAACGAAGCGTGAGAGGACTTTGAGGTATTGAAATAAGTCTTTATGACACCAAACAAGCATATGCTATTGTTGTGGTGATTATTCAACTGCAAGGATCATGTTATCTGCTCATTTCAACACCTCAAAGTCCTCTCACGCTTCGCTGAATCTCGGGTAACCGGGCTTATGTAAACAGCCCCTAAAGCCGGTTTTCCACTAGCGATATTTTTCGCGCGAAGCGACTTTATTCCTTTGTATTTGAGCAACTTGTTCTAGATGGTTGCAGTTGAGAGCTCTGAAACAAAAGTAAAATGTCGCTTCGCGCGAAAAATATCGCTAGTGGAAAACCGGCTTAAGACTCATATTTCTTATCTAGCGCTCTCCCTGCAACTCCAAGCAACTTCCTGCGGCCGTCGACATCAGGGACTGCTCTACAGCTGCCAAATTCCAGCGTTCCTGCCTCGTCTCTCTTCAGAGCAGCGCATTCGGAGGACGACGACTACGACTCGTGAAAATGTTTTTATTTTATCGTGCAATTCCTATCGCTTTTCGGCGAAATTCAAGTTTGTCCAAATGGCACAAATGGTCCACTTTTATTCGTTGTAAAATAGTCTGTTGACCTGCCTATTTGGGAGGAATGCGTGGATGATTTTAAACAGGGGTGGCGCCAGAGGGGGGGCAAGGGAGGCTACAGCCCCCCCGTCGGGGGACTCTAGCCCCCCTGTCGGGGAAAATTTTAACAATTCGTCGGGGAATGAACGGGAGATATATTGAGTCGCCCTCTATTGTTTTTAGTTCTCCCAAATAAAACAGATAAACTTCTTCAAAATTTAACTTAGTATTTTACATTGTACATGGTTTGTAGCATAAAAATTTTCATGAAAAAGTCCGTGATAAGACTCTGAAATGCTAATTTCCAAAGATCTAGAACAATCAAATTTCAAAAATTTTCTTCCTCGGCGCCAACCAAGGTGGCGCCTCGTGAGCTTAGGCTCCAAATCTAAGCCATGGGACTGTAGCAATAAACCAAAAACTGGGAGTTCAGCCCCCCAGCCCCCCTGTCGGGGACCTTAGCCCCTGTGACGGGAGAATTCCTGGCGCCACCCCTGATTTTAAATTTGACGAAAACTTGGAAAACTGTGCGAACTTTTCATACTTTCATAACATATCGGAATCTCACTAGGAGGGACTTAATTCCTGCACTCAAGGCCACAGTTATGTAAAATATGACTTTACAAGTATATGTCACTAATGTCAGGGTATTTGTCAAAATTATTAGTGCTGAACTGTGAATTTTGTTTCTTGAAATATTCTTCTTAGCAGTTCTTCTTAGCAATTTAGCCCGATGCTAAGCAAAAAAGGGGACAAAGTTGTACAGTTAAGTAGTCAACTGCTGAGGGGGTAGAATCTCAGAGGAGGGGGAGAAAGGGGGTCCTCCCTAGCTTTTTGTCACGCAAATGCGCAAATTATTCTGATTTTTGGCGCCAAGATTTAAAGTTCCAAGCGGAAGGCCTGGTCCCTGGGCTCGCTGTGCATAAACAAAGCAAACATGGCTGCCAAGCCTGACGGAGAAGAACATTTTTTGCAGTTGAAAAACGAGGTTGAAAAGCTGCGAGAGAGAGACACTAAGGTTGGTTAAAATACTGGATAAGAAAAGGGTTGTGTGCGTATGAAATATGAATTTCGTTGGGCGGGTGTAATGGTACTTGAGGTTGAGGAGTGCAACACTTGCGTACAAATTTATGTACATTTGGTTTTTGATAATAGTTAAAAAGTCAAGAAGTAATATGCCAAAAAGCAAAAGAGTGGTTTCTGAGTAAAAAGTCAAAGTCTATGAAAGTCCTTTCGGAGGAGAAGACCTCGGAGTTTGAGCTGCCCGATGAGTGCAAGTCCGATGTGTAAGCCTTTTTCATGATGATTTCTTTGTAATATATGACAGCAATGTAATATCACTAGTTCGTTAGAGCAAAGTTAGGTAGATCTAGATAGCTTTGGATCAAATAAATTGTTTAGTTTGACAACGAAAAATATCAAAATTTCTTGATTAAAATGTTAGTTTTCTTGTTCAGGCAATTTTCTGAGATTCTTGGTGTGCTGACAGAAATACAAAAGGAGCAGAAACGACTTTTGATGCTGAAATATCAACTTCGTGAAGCCCAAAAGGAACAAGAGGTTGGATTGATCAATGATATACTTCTGAAACAAAGCGGTAATGTATAAATTTTATACGAAGGTCCTCTTGAATCACTGACCTGAAATGGTTCAGCATTTTTAACTCCAAAAACATTATGGACAATTCTCTTACATCATGCATCCATTAGTAATTTATGTTTGCAGGATTCCTCCAGAATACACAGGTTCGTCCGAAAAACAAACCACCTCTCGCTGTTTGGTTCTCCGAAATAACACAATCTATAGCCAAAAACTCGGCAGAAAATCCGAAAGGTACTAGATTTTCGTTTATTTCCCCTATGGAAAAAGTGCAGATATTCTGCAGATGTATGTCTTGAATATACCTATTTACTTCATCCTAAACCTGATTTATAGGCATCAATCGATCAGCTCAGGGTTAGAATTATTGTCTGAATTGATTTCGTGTTAGCATCAGGCAAAGGACTGTGTTTTTAAATTGCCGAATTTTCATCACCAGTAGTGTTGCAGGTGTCATCAACAGACAATGATTCACTTTTTAAAATTCACCTTACAGAGGATCAATGTAGCAAAAGAAGTCAGTTATTTTACAATGTGCATTATCTTGATGGCACAAGACAATTGCCACAAGATTTACTCGCTCAGACAATCTACAGGAAGAAAATAAAGCATGGTTTGAAAAAGGAAGATTTCTTTCAAGAGGTGCTGCAGTTTTCAACATGTCATAGAGGACATTGTGTTTGGATCAAAATCACAAACTATCAAGGCAACAGGTATAAACCTATATCGATCTTTTTGGTTGATTCGAATGATTTGTATTCCATCAAATACAGCTGTCAGCGAGATTTCTATTTGTTTGTCACTAAGATTTTCCATTTTGCTAGATCACCTTGAAATTTCAACAGGGAACGCCCTTAAAAAGTGCAACTTTTCTAACCGTATTGCTTTTGGAAATTTCGAGATTTAATCCAAATTTTGAATGCCTAAGAAGAAAACAACTGTCTAAAATTTGAAATAAACTCATATATGAACTTCTAAATTTATTAATTAACAATTATTGGATCTGGTTAAGTGTGATATCGAGAATTATCAAGCCGAAGTTTGCGTAATTCGCTGAGGCGGATAACGCAAACTGAGGCTTGATAATTCTCGATATCATGCAAAAACCGAATTCAATAAATGTTTTATTATTATGTATTTCCTTTTTAGAGAGGAAATGTGCCATTATTTACCACAAACTAGCGGCAAAAAATTACGCCACCTACGGATAATTTTCAATGTCGTGTAGATGGCAAGACATTGAGAATTATCTGTAGGTTTTTAGCCAATCACAATCGAGATTGCATTAGTAATGCATAATAATATAATTTCTTTTGTGCAGTCAATATGTAGAAAACAACGACTCTGCTGAGAAATTTAATCCATCTTCGTATCATATTGACACTGATATTCATCTTAACGGATTAAAAGAACGCTTAGTGGAATTCCTTGCGGCGAAAAAATCACCTGAAGATTATGTCAGGATTTGCGTTTGGAAAGAAATCGAAGAATTGCCACGGTAACACGTATTCTACAACGAACTGTGATGGTTCGTGGACTGTCTACCTGAACTGAACTACCTGAAAAAGAACTCTCGAACGTGGTGGTCCAGTGTTGGCAGTGTAGCTAGTATTCTGTAATAAGCAGAGTGGGTTACCGTTGTTTGTGTCTAAACTAGCCGAAAAGATTTCATATTGACGTGGTGGTCCGTGCGTTTATGCATTCGTTGAAAAAAAGTACCACTATGTTTCCCGCGAAAATGGAAAACTAATTAACAACGTAATTACCCACTAATGGCCCCGTTTTTGTCATTAAATGTAACGTTGCCAAGTACCAATTATCGTAAACAAATTATTATTATCAAACACAAGAGTTTGTTTTCGCTTGTTAACGGTAAATATGGTAGCAACACTGTAGGATATTCATCCATATATTTCTCGTCACATTCTACGGTGTTCAAATGCATTGAGCTCGATTCAGCAATGGCCTTAAAGCTCTCGCAAGTTTTGGATTTAGCGATAGGAGTTGATAATGCTTCGGTGAATTTGCTACATCTTCGTGAGGTTCTCGTTACTGTGATTACGACTCTTGATATCGGGCACATTGGTGTGAAAAATGAAGTGGACGAAATTGATGAGCACGTAGTGGGCGATGATAAGTTGGAAGCGTTTGATGATGACCAGTTGACATTGCTGGAAAATGGAACACAGGAGAATACTTTGCCTGATCAAGGTTGGTCTCGTGCATGTGAGATTATGTGTAGTAGGATTTTTCGTTTTTTCCCTGTCTTCTTCAAGTACCATCTTATGTAGGTTTTTTCTTTTGGTAATTGCAGCTTGTACTGTTAACCTGACTGAATCAGTGGATGCTGTCTAAAATTATCCTTATTGCTTTGTAATGTTTCTCTTTAAACCATTGCAGTTGTGCTAATCTGACTGAGTGTTGACTGTTGCTACTATAATACCAGGTCCAGTGCTTTCTGCTCTGCAATGTTTTATTCAGTGTTTCACTTTTAATCTTTCTCGATGCTTGTGAACCTTCCTCACAGATGCCTATCATGATCCACTACAGATCCAAAGAAGTTTTTTCATTCTTAGATGAGCTGTCAAGCATTCGTTCCGACGTTGATACAACTGCACGCAATGATGAAAACACGATCATCGAGGAGAACGAAGATTACTGGAATGAGCACGAAGATTACTCGAATGAGCACGATGTCTCCAATCACAAAACGAACGACGACACTGGAAAGCACAAAACGCAAATGCAAAAGGTTCGAACTGTCGAACAGCCGAAACTGAAACGAAGCGAAAGTGTCTTATCGAATGTTTCTGCGCATGCTCGTAATTCAACATTGGCAAGCAAAGTTTTTGGGCTTGAAGAAAATTTGAAACGCTTACAGAGCATTGTGGGTAGTTTGATATCGCAAGTCGATCCCAATAACAACGTATTCAACTCGAACCCAGGGCAGTTTGCGGCGAATATAGAGCACTCGATACCATTGGGAGACATTGGTAATAGTTCTGTTCAATACAGTGAGTGTGTCACAAGCTTGGAACCTGGACACGAGTGGATTGATAACTCAGTCGACGATCCAAACCGCCCGGTCACCCAGCCCGTGCTTGCGTCATCAAAATTGGCACCAATCCCCACTCGATCAAAAACTGCCGGGTTTTCAGCTAAGAAAAGTAAACAGTCACGAAGGCAAGGTAGTTTGCCGCTGAAGTTGAAACCTCGTCAGTTTGTTCCCACCATTGCTGAGGAGACACAACGGGGTGAACATGCGATACAAGTGGTAAATGAGGATAACCAAGGCATTAGGGATGGACATGGGATAAAGGGAGTGACCAAAGATAAGCAACTCTCCAAGGGGAGTTCTGGAGATATTCGAAAAATAGCAAAGATGAATGCTGGAGATAAGCAAGACATTCAGGGTGAAGAATGGATAGGTGATGATAACTCTAAGGACAAAGAACTAACTGAAGGTATGGAAAACTAGGGATATAATATAGGCAACCATCAACATTCTGGTAAATATTTTGCAACAGTTTCAAGACGTTGCTTAATCCGTAATGAAATTATCTTTCCCAACTTTTATTCTAGAATACTTGCTATCTGATGACGAGAGCGAAGAGCCGGAAGAGGATATAGAGGACCGCATAGAACAAGTATTCGAAGCAGCCCTAAATGATACCAGTGATCCACAGAACGTCGCATACGCCATGCGTCTTGGCTTAGAGCAGATGAAGCGCATGAGGGAAGAATTTCAACGCGCTCAGGAAAACGTCAGATTGGAAGTGGAAACATGCCGGAATTACATTCAGTCTTTTCGTGAGGCTATTAACGTCTTGAAGGGGGAAAAGAAAAACCAGGTTGGTTTGTCTGGATCACTGGATGTAGTTATTTTGAAGCTCTGTCAACATTTGAAAGCAGTGTCTAACCGATAACGCTTGATACATTATTAAACTGATGTGTCCGGAGGGTGAAAAAATCTGAACCGTTTTACTTTATCTTTGTGATGATACCTTGAGATCTTAACAACTAATTCTGTCGTTTTTATCAGGAAACGGAGCAGTTCAACGCCTTACACCATGTCCACCGTCAGATTAATGAACTGGAACAGAAACAGACGAAACTCAGCAAGACCGTGAACGAACTTGTCGACGAATTCAACCGACACGAGTCGGCGTTTTCCGACATTCAGAATTCGTTAGATGAAATGAACGAACACAAAGTAGACAAAGTTTTCCTGTCAACGAAGTTCGACGACAAAGCGAACAAAGATGAGTTGCGTGATAAGGTGAGGATTCCAGCATATGGTCATTATAAACCGCTTTTAAACCGCGGTTTTTTTAGCTAAAGTCTTGAAAATTCTACACTAATTTAGGTTTTCCATATACCCCAGTCTCATACACACAAGGTTCAGTCTTATATACAGTGAACTTAGTGCCTGTATCTTTGATTTGAGTCGTTCATATTTGTGTTTAGGTTAGTCTGAGTGTGTTTGATGAAAGTTTTTCGCTGCTTGACCAAGCTTTGGGCGACGCCCTTGAGAAAATGGCGAACCAAATGAGCTTGGAGGAGGCGATGCGAGAAACGTTGAACGAGATGCAATCCGGAATGGCAATGAAGTTGAACCGCGAAGATATGGAAAGTTTGAAGATTGAGCTGGAAGCACGGATTAAGGAAGTTCGCGCCGCCCAAGAGAAGGGACTGGTTGCCAAAAACGAAGTGCCGCGTGATCCCGCGGGATTTAAGAGGTACTTGAGGACCCTAGGGGACCGTATTATAGGTAGGCGGGCTAATGGAATTGATGTTTTGTGATTTCTATTCATTAGATACGTCGAGAAGGCTCGTTGCATTTCGTGTGATCAAGACGTCGAAATCGAACCGTCCCAGGCCTCGGTTCGACCCTCTCTCCCCAAAAGTCAACCGCTGGCTCGAATCCCGCGATCACGTGATGTAAACAAGAAAGTTGTCGATGACGAGCATCGAATTTCTAAGCTCAAGGCAGACATGATCCCGGGGACTGGGTTCCAAGATCTCACATTGTTTCCGATGTCTCAACGATTCTGTGGCGGACGTCACACGATCACACGCGGAAATAAACGATTTCTGGGGCCGACACTGAATGATTACATAGTGATTCACGAATCCGATCACGTCACATTGCCCCCACGGGAGTTCATCGTACAGTCGAGGGATTCCGGCGGCTTACGAAGGTTAACGAAACGGAAACTGCCGGCGATTAACGATCTCAAACATCTGCCAGACATTCGGGAGGAAGGTAACATTTTGAAAGGAAACAGCGATTGTGAAAACTCAAATTATGAGAATTGAAACATAAATCGACTTGTACTTTCTAGTGACTATTGTATAGATCCTGGTTAAGTCATGCCCGTACTAAACGAGCAGAAAACTATTATTTTGTTTAAGAGAAACCAAATACGGCTCTGATCAAACGTTTTTCAAATCCTTTTTCACTCAATTGGTTTTATGCTGAAACATAAGCCTTAATTCAACGTTGAAACAACGTCGATTTTTGACGTTGAAGCAATGTCTTAAAATCAATGTTTAATTAACAATGTCGTATGCCCACTGGGATAGTCAGACAAGACGAAGACATGCGCGCGGGTTGACGAGGCTATGTTTGATCAAAGCCCTCAATTCACTCTCATACCCCACAAAAATCCCTGGAGTTCTCTCGTGGGTATTATGAGAAAATAACCCTGGGTTTGAAGTTCGAGAAGAAGTCTAATTGGCACTAGCCCTGGGTTGGTTTGACTCGTAAGAGAGTTATTTCTCACTATAGAATTTTCGCATAACTTTATCTTTGTCTACCGAGTTTAACCCCTGCAGTTTGGCTGTGTAAACGCAAGGTTTAAAATCCCTCAGTCGCAAAAGAGCAAGAATCGTGAGGATTATTTTATATGCGTGCCTTTATTCAAGTAAATCATTCCTAAAACTTGCATTCTTCCAATGAAATAACCAACACCCAAAATCTCCACTGTGCATTCACACGTACCCGTGTCCGGGGTAAACAACTTCCCCTGCGTACATTTCCCCGTTAAACACCTGTTTCAGCTGACTATCGAGCATGTTACACTCCAGAACCTTGTCCTCGTACATGCTCTCTGCGACCTGGAGACGAACTCGAAACTGATCGATCTGCTGACGAAAGCGCGTGTTCCCGGATGCCAGTTGTAATGTGGCCATCTGAACGTGGTAGTGAAGCTCGTTGTTCTCCCGAAGCACTTGATTACGGTGCTTCTTCAAATGCGCGAATTGTCTTTGGATGACACTGTGTTCCTCGTGAAGTTTGTCGTACTTTTCTTGCAGTTCCTGGAGGGATTCCTCGTCCACAATGTTGGCCCAAGATTTGTTCTCCGTTTGCTCTTGTTTCGACTCCATTGTCTAAGAAATTCAATACATATTTCATCACATAAAAATAAGTTGGGGATTAAATATGTTTTTTCCCGACTCAGAACTCGTTTTATCCCAAGAGTACCAAGGATGAAACAGGTTCTGTGGATTGAAGAAACATATTTATGACTAAGGACACCAACTGGTGTTGTTATTCGAAAGATTCTCTAAATCGTAAACAAATTAAACACAGAATTATTTTGGATTGAGCTAAAATTCATTTAGCTATTACAGTGTTCATCGTCCATCATGGAAACCTCAAAACATGAAGGATAAACAGATAACGTGTTTTGGGTAAACGACTTTCCACGAAAAGACGTTCCTGAATTCCATGCCGTCATGGAACTATCTGATTGTAAACATTCTTGTAAAACCTCAAACATAGGAATAGAGGTATTCCGACTAACCTTGTCATCCCTTTTTGAGAGTTCCATCTCGCTGTCCGTCAATTTCTTCTTGGTCTCTTTAAGTTGTTCGACCAACTCACAAATTCTCGTGTCTTTTTGATCAATCAGTGCCTCGTTTTCCGAGCGCAACGCTTCGAATCTTCCTTCGAATTTCTCGGAATCCTTCTCGACGTCGCTCAACTTCTCACGCAGATCCTCGTTGCATTTCCTTAGCTGAATCACCGCTTCTTCGCTTGTGCTCAACTTCATTTCGAGCTCGGAGATGTTCGTCTCGGCTTCGTCGCTCAGCCTCTTGTTGATGGCTTGCTGCTCGGAGATCTTCTCCTCAAGATGGCGGATGCGTCCGGCGCTTTCTTTCTCGAAGGATGCGAACTGCGTTTTCTCCTGCGCGAGTTGTCTTTTCAGCGCAGCGAGATGATCCTCCCCGATGTTCGCACGTTGCATCGACTTTTGAGATTCGTTATGCAATTGCTTCTGTAGCTCTTCGTTGTCCGACTTCACTTTTTCCAAAGATTTTTTAGCCTCGCAAAGTTCACCTTCGAGCTGCTGTTTTCTCGTTTTCTCAGCCACGATTTTATCCCTCAGCTCCTTCGCCGTTTCTGTGCTGCGGGCCTTCTGCTGTTGCAAGCTTTTCATACTGTTCTTATGCTCCTCGATGACCGTTTCCATTTTCTGAATGCGTTGCTTCGCATCCTTGAGTTGTCGTTCAGCGTGAGTCTTCACGTCTCTTTCCAACAAGCATTTATCCCTCCACTCATCGCGCTTCGAACAACTCCGTTTCAAAGCCTGCTTTGTATTTCTCATTTCTTTCTCGGCCTTTTGTAAAAGTTCTTGAAGTTTCTGCTTTTCCTTTTCCATTTCGGTCAAGCTCGTCTCGCTCAACTTTTTAACAAACATCATGCATTCCTCCATCGCATCCTCCATTTCGGTCACCTCAATAACCTGATCCTCCAGGATGGAAATATCCACAGGCAAGCTTGTTCCGGCCATGTTCTGTTTTTTTTCCGATCTAAAAACCTTGCTTTCAACCTTTCCCTGGCGGCGTTATTATCTTTTCGTAAAATTCCAAACTGTATTTTTCAATTCATGACGCAATCAAAATGGCGTCGACCAGCGTTTTTAACGAATTTGCGCGCGCGCCACCGAGCTACATAATAATATAGCTCAGTGGCGCGCGCACAAAAAGCCAGCGCGCGCGAGTCGCCCTTGGCACGGAGGATATATTGACAGAGGTGTTTCACGCGGCTTTTATAATGCGAAATAATGCGAAATTTCGTGACGCTGAAGCAATGTCTTAATATCCATGTTGAAACAATGTCGTATGCTCACTGGGATCGTGAAACAACGGACGAAGACATGCGCGCGGGTTGACGAGGCCATGTTTGATCAAAACCCCCAATTCAGCTGCGTACCCCACGAAAACCACTGGGGTTCTCTCGTGGGTATGATGAGAAAATAACTCTGGGTTTGAAGTTCGAAAAGAAGTCCACTTGGCACTAGCCCTGGGTTGGTTTGACTCGTAAGAGAGTTGTTTCACATCTTATCTCGCGGCAACGTCATCAGTAAAATCGAAAGAGTCGAGCTCTGTCCATATCTCCTCTGTACAGAAAGCAGAAGATTCGAGAGGGTGGGGGGACTAAAGAGGCTAAAGATGGCCCGAGTACATGTACTTTGTTCGGGGTTTAACAATTGAGTTAAACGAGGGTTTTGCGTGTATTTCTTAACTCGAGCAACATTCCTAAGTGTTTGGATCAGATCATCCAAACACAGAAACCATTAAGTAATCAGTGTTTTATAAAATAACAAACCATAATAAATTTGTTTTTAAATTTCCGCGAAATTTCCGTGTTTGGATGGCCTGATCCAAACACGAGCTTCAACCAATCAGAACACGCGTTATATACATGTTATTTTCTAAACAGTATTCTTTAATATTTACGACTAATTATATTCAATTTGTGTATTCAATCGATACCAAATGATATTTTCCTGCCGTTTATATTATGTAGTTGTTCTCAAGATTTTAATTGTTTTCAATTTAATTGTGAGAACTCGACCGTGGCGGCTCACACAAAACCGCTTTATGCAGATACACACACAGCTTCCTTCAAGGATTTGGGTAGACAGTAGACATTTGTAGACATGTATGCAAGATCCATGATTATGGAGTCCCAAAGCAAATATGTTAGCAGAAATTTGCGTTAACTAAACTGAATATGAATTTGGATAAAAAGAAGACTCAAGTCATATTGTTGTTTTTAGCTATAATATTAGTAATTATTCTACTCCAAATGCAGTCGCCACGTCGTCCATCTGAGCTACTAAAGGTAACACAATTACCTAAATACCTTGTACGCACATCACTTAATAGAGGTCTTTAATTAATCTTCAACTGCGAAGTTTTCGGTCAGTGAGATACAACACTACTACACTACTCGCTGTCGCTGATAAATGCCCGGGTTAACAACCGAAAGTTTATTTTGCAGTATTAAATACTTAAATGGTGTACCTACAGGCTACAAGTTATTTATTTATATTGTGATATCACCATGCGAAATGCCAAGAATATTGAAATTCAGATACACTGTGAAATTCATTGGTTATTATAATATGACCTATGAATAATAAGCCTCATACTAACTGTCATCAGTGTCATGGATAATAATTTATATTTGCCTGCCACTGTAATGTAAATAAATTATAATGCCAACGTATTATTAAGAACGTTTAAATTTTATTACGATCTCTTTATAGTCTGAATATGAAGCTAAACAAGAGCTGGAAAGGTAATGCGATGTTACATTGTCTATTGATAGAGTCTATTCTACCATGATTTTGTTCAACACGAGAACAGGCTGAAAGTTCATTTAGCAAAGCCGATGTATCTTACGGTTATTTTAACTGAAGGCTGTTTGATTCATATACATAGCCTTAGGATAATAACATTGTGGCTAGTTGACCTGGGTGAGGTAAAGCTGGAAGAGAGAAAATTGCTACTTGGCATAGCGTTTATTGACAAATATATGACATGTTGTAACCAAAGGCAAAGTTTCGTTTGTAGTGTAAATAAGCTGGTACCTTCGAAACATTATAATATTTTATAACCTGCTTAGGCTTATAAACAGGAGCTATAAACAGGCACCTAACTAAAGCTGATCTTGGCATTTGAATTTTTGATGAAAAGTATATGTATTCGAATATCAATCTATAGTTCTATGAAACCCGTTGTCGAGAATATCCATGTGCAACGCCTTTTATATTTTGCATTTCACCGGCGCGTGTTTCTGTTTTAATACGATATTTTGTCTCGTGGAAGAAATATTGACCGAAGGTGTCTTGTGTGCGATTTCGGGAATGGAAACATACTGCTTTCAGAGCAGGGAAGATGTTTTGTCCAAATGAATTTTGTATCAAAAAGGTTTTTGCCCACGATAATTCATAGGAATATTCATATTTCTTACGACTTTAGTCATTATAAACCTCAAGATAATTAAAGATTAAGGTAGGAAATATAAGAATTTACCTTTCTTTACACCATTGTTCTTCTTTAAGTTTGTAAAAGATCGCCAAATCTTTGCAAAAACTTCCTGTTTGACACAAATCTCACTTTTCGACACATTTTCTGCCAGGCGAGTTTCCCGCCTCGGCCTCTCGCGCGTGTCCTCACGCGAGACGATAATATACGCACTAAAACAAAAACACGCGCCGGGGACGAGGTAGTGTATGGGCTGGCTATGGGCTGAAAAGCGAAACGATAGTGACATGCGATATTCATTTCCCGGCTGGGAGTATAGCTGCCATTTGTATCATGATAACTGTCCTCAAAGGTTTCAGGAGACTGTCAGAAAGTTTGTGAAATCGAAGGCCGAAATGGAACAGCGCTTGGAGAAGATTGAGATAAATCAAAATACTGTAATGAGGTTGATGGATAGGCTTGACGGGAATTCTCAAAATGAGAGTGCAGTAACCCAAGCTAACAAAGTTGAGGGAGAACACGAAAAAGAAGTCGATCCTTTCAATTTAACTGGGTGTGTATCTAATGTGATATTCTTGGAATTTTGCATAGTGAATTAATAATTAAATCCTTATTTGGTGGAAAACACCACGTTTATTAGTTTTATGCAGAGAATTTGACCCGTTAACCCAAGCCTTAAAATAGTTAATTAAAAGTTAACATAACTAATTAGTTAGTTCGTTAAGTTAGTTAAGTCAATTAGTTTGTACTGATGAAGGCCTAAGTTTATAACGGACCTAAAGCTCTGCATAAAATTAATAAACGTGCATGATGTTATCTACAAATTGATGTTCTAATGCACATTATTCCTTACTTTCTCAGTGAGATAAAACGAGGAGATCATTGTTTTGATTCTGCTGCACAAGGACTTGGTGGCATCATTAAAACTTATAAATGTCATAAAAAAAGCCGAAATCAGGTAGATGACTCAATTGCTACCCACTGCATGCGTTGCTAATCCTATTTTGTTACAATCAATTTCACTATTGCTACTATTAGTCAAGTGAATTATGCCAAGATAGTTGTTTGAGACACACAGTGTCTTTTAAGTCCACTTGTTTTCGTATTTCAAGAAATTCCGAATGGAAAATGGTAGTATAAAACATAAACGTTGGTGCCTAGCTGTGAAAGTGCTTACAAAAGGAGAATTCATCAAGTTAAGAAATTGCGGTGACAAGAGATACTTACAAGTAAGATAGAAGATCTTGCAATATTACAATGGTGAACTTTAATTAAGCATGAAAGCAGGCACTATTACACTGTTTCCATACAGGCATGTTTGGAAGTTTGCAAATTTTTTTTCTTTTCCTCGCATATAGAAATGGAGTTTCCAAGATAAGTTCATAAAAGCTGCAAACAGGAACTTTTGTATGTCGGAAAAATTGGGTTCGGCTTCGGCTGTTGCCTTAGCCATATGCGACGAAAATGATGAAACGCAAAAATGGGATCTGAGTAACTGAGTTAACGGTGAATTTGGACAGACTGACAACGACAACAATAATAAAGACTATGTTATCAATCTCATGTGCAAGTATTATGATAAAAGTTTTCGCTGGAATGCAATACAGTTGATCAATCAAGTGGGATTTAACGTCGCTTCAAAAAAAGGTGTGTCGGTCAAATCTCAAATGAAGACAAATGACTTGGGAATCACTACTGGTAAATAAAATGGAAATAGACTGATATTCTTGATTTTTAGCCATAGCTAACCAATAACGTAAAAGTAACGTTCTCACGGGACAGTTGCACGGTTAAAATCCGTTTATCACTGATTTAGAAAAATCAATTTGAGACTGAGACTGGCTTAATAGGGAATAGATCTGTATTCTGTCCTATCAAGCAGGACAGGGGTGGATCCAGCACTAGTGCACTAATTTGCATCATGGGATTGTTTTTTGTGGACGGTTTTAGTCCCCCAAAACAGCCTCATCATGCTCTAGTGCGACTCAAATATGTTGAGATTTTTAAAAAATACTCTCATAGATCCATCGTAATTATCGCTTAACTTCAACTCTCATAGATCTTGTGAATGACTGAACCCGCATCTTATGCATCATGCATTTATGTTGCAATAATTAAATGTGTAGTATGTACTTCCGTTGACAATTAAAGCTGTTGTTCAATAAATAAATTATTTTGTTTTCCATTTTGAACTTTAGTATCCACCGTTTAAGGCTTTAAGCTAACACCTTTCGAACAACCTCCCCCAGAATTCTAAGCCATAGCAGCGAGTCTTCCGCAAAACCGGAAATGGGTATACTTCACGTGTATTTCGTCAAAGACCTTTTAACCAGATTTAATAATACTGCATTAACTCTTCAATAAAACCGAAATGCAGGACTTTTCTATTTAAACATTTTTATCCTTTAACAGTGTTTATAATTTTTAACTTTGGCCGTTGAATTGTTTGCAGTTATGGCCGACAGAACGACGGTTTTGCTTTTCTTGTTCTTGGTTGCATTATTGTTTATTTTATGGTTCATGCCTACCTCGCGACCAGCGCCAGAGGGGACAAAGGTAATCAATAGATCATTTGTGCTGTTTGCGGATTAAACTAAATACCAAAGTAGTGAAACGACTTGAGATGTGATGTTGTTAAAATGAAAATTACTTCCAATTTCCAAAGTTGTTTATGTAACGAGATACAAATTAAATCCACTCATAATCTAGCTTTAAAATGATGTTAGCAATAAACAGTCTTATTTTGACCCTGTTTGTTTTCCTTTTCTCAAATAGTTAGATCCTAATGTTGGAAAAGAGCTAAACAGGTAATATGCATGAGGCAGCATGATGCTTTTAGTTGCTAGGTCAGGTTAATTTTATTATTCTTTGTAAATATGGAACTCTTTATATGCCAGTTATTCGAGTCTTCTCCAAGGTGATGTCCGGTAGGCAGGAATGTAAACAAACGCTCGTTTGCATTAAACTGCTAACAGTCTGCTATATTCTCATGTCCCAATTCTCATGTCTACCATACATCACTGTTCATCATTGTGCATCATTGTGCATCTGAAAAAGTAAAACCAGCCTTGTAAAATTTGTGCGATGCTTGTAAAATGCTTGAAATTGTCTTGTCTCCTATTGTGAGAACACAGAACAAGTTACATTTTCATCATTTTCACTGTGTGAACATCCAAACCAGACAAATTTAAATCCATCAGAAGATTGTGCGTGAGATGTCTGGTAGGGTTACATTCCACCACCAGTTGTTCTGTTGTTGCAATGTGGATTAAAATGTAAGTGTGTTCAAAGATTTCAGGAGACCATAAAAAAGTTTGTGAACTCAATGGGTGAGATGGAAAAACGTTTGGACAATCTTGAGGTCAATGTCCAAAATATCCAGAAGAAACAAGAATCATTCCAAGTAAATTCTGTGAATCCACAGATCAGTAAAAGACAAAGCCAAGAACCTGTGAACCATGATGCTGAAAAGGAACCTGTGGACCATGACACTGAAAAAGAGCAAAAATCAGAAGCTCCAGATTTTATCGGGTGTGTATGTATTGTGTATTAGCGAGGTGAGGCTTAACTTGCACTTGTTGTTGGTTAGTTAAATGAGGTTCCTGAATAGGGTGAAATCGGAGCTCTGGGATTGCACAGCTATTTTTACACTGAGAAATATATATATAAATTGAAATACATAGAAAGTGAACAGTTCAAATTTCGCTGGGTAACCTGAATGCAAACCATTGCAAAATCATTATAATGTTTCCAGTGGTACGTAGCTTGTGTTGTATTGCTCTTATGAGCTTTATTCATTTGATCATTCAGGGAGATAAGACGTAACAATAATTGTTTTGATTCTGCTGAGCATGGCTTCGATGGTGCCATTGAAGTATTTGAATGCCATAAACAAGGTAGAAATCAGGTAGGTTACTGTAGAGGATCAGAGACAAACCTTATTACCAAATATTATTGCACAATGAAGCTCCTAGAGTATGCTAACTTCACCCAGTGCAGAAGCACAGCTTCACTTTTCCTAATAATGTCAGGCAATATATAACAGTTAACTTATCTGCAATTGGAATACTCAGTGAAATATGCATTTAGGAGGGTGGACCTACTCCCAAAAAAAAGTCAAGTGAATGATATCAGCAAAAATTTCAAGTACAAATTGCCTGAACTATCACTGACTTTAGCAAAAATTGCCCAAATTTTGGTAGAATTCGATAAAAATTTGCCCAATTGACTTTTCTAGATTCAAATGTTTCTGGGGGGAGGGGAAGCTGTCCCTGGCTCTCCTGCCTCATCCTGGTCTAACTGGGTTTCTTATCAAAATATTATTCATATTTCTACTTTATTTAACTTATAATAATTACAATCAGTGTGGTACAATGCATTATAGTTGTATTAATTTAATTGTTTATCTTTATTTGTTTAGGAATTTCAACTGTACGGTAATAAGATAAGACATAAACAATGGTGCCTGGTGGCAGAAAAGGCAGAGGAAGGTCAAGCTGTGCTGTTAGGGAACTGTGGTGACAACAATCCTCTACAAGTAAGAATTCTGCAAAACATGGACTTAGTTTGATAAACTGACTATGGTTTACACACAATGTTATTTCACTGTTCATTTAAATATTCCAGCTGTAAGCAAGGCATTCTGAATTAAAAAAATGTGATAAATCCAACAGCTAAGCTAAAAAAGGATATAAAATGAGTTTGGTGGCAAAATGTTGTAAATTGGGGGAAATATATAAAGTCCACAAGCTTTGTAAGACTATGTAGCTATTACGCGCGGGAAAATGGTTGATTTTGTCAAAAATGGTAATTTTTTCCGCGCGAGATGATACAAAGGTTGAAAAAGATTCTTCTTTCTCGTGTATAGAAATGGCAGTACCAAGATAAATTAATAAAAAGTGCAGAAATGAACTTTTGCATGAGGAACAAATTTGGTCGCGGAGTCGTGTCGTTGGCCGAATGCAATACAGAAGATGATTCACAAAAATGGGATTTGGAGAAGAAATATGGTACATGAGTTATACGTATAGAATAGGCTATCTTACGATTTTCAATGATCTTATGCAAATACAATGTAAATTAGTTTTTTCTGTGATTGAAAGGGAAAAACCTGTCTTGAACTACACTTGTTGTTTTGCAAAAGTCTCGTAATAATGCAACGGTTTAAACATTTTAACGAAACTCTAAAAGTGCATGATATATGATATATTATATGCAAAATCTTTTAGTCCACAAAAACACATTTTTTGCATTCCGTATGTATACTATGCATACTACACTTTTTACACACATAAAGTTTTAATTGTTATTTGTTAGTCTAGCGCCGTGGGGGTCTGGGTCGTGCCCGGGTTTCTTTGCATCTTGGGATATGTCTCTCCGCCACGGACGGTTTGAATTTTCTTTGACAATATGAACACTCGATGTAATCGGGGTTGGTCAGCGGAGTTGGTGGACCTGGTTCTTGATGTCTTGCCGAACGAATTGACTGAATGAAGTTTTCGTGTGTTTTCCTCCAGTCGTTCTTCTTCTTGTCCTGCGGGAAATCAAAACAAACATTGGTGACATTATTGGCCCGGTTGTTTGAATACCTTGGGCCGGTTGTATCAAGCCCGTTTAGCTTAAACGGTGGTTAAGTTCAAAATAGAAAGCAAGTCTATCATTTTATTCAAGAAGCAAACTAAATGTTTTTAACCTTAATACAAAGATACTGTTTACAACTACATATTCAGTGCATAATATTTAAGTTGACTCACTCAAGAGAGTTGTATGAGTGTTATTTAATTTTAACTTATCCACCGTTTAAGCTAAACGGGCTTGATACAACCGGCCCCTTGTCTTAATCACAAATAGAAATCCACTCTGGACTCTGCAGTATTCAATCGATTATATCTTTTGCCATTCTTGTGATTATGTTTAGTTATAAGAGTGAAGCTCGGTATAAATTTGAAACCGAAATAAAGTATATTTCAATGACGTTAGGTTGTTTCAACCGGGAAATGGCCGGATTTTTACTTGGCAAATCATCCCAGTCCTTTCCCGCCATTTCAGATCTCCCGGAGAAATTACTCACCTTGTATTTGGAGTCATCGCTTGTCTCCTTTCCCATAATAAGATATTTTTCCATATCTGTGCCTTCAGCTCTCTTTCGCTTGGCATCAAACGGTTTCTTGATTCTTGCCGATGCTTTTCTGCACGCCTTTTCATGCTTTGCGATCCTCTCTTTCATAAAACCTCGGCCGCAGTTTGGACATGTTACCAAATCCTGAATAACAGAGCCTGATGTGGCATTCGCATTAGTTTCTTTGTGAATGCTCGACTTCGTTGTAGAATCACGACTCGTTTGTGTTCTTCCAGTAAGTTCACTGACTTTATACTCGTAAGAAACGGATTTTCCCCGACCCCGCCGGAAATCTTCTTCGTTCGTTCTTTGATATTCGGCATTTCGATGTTGTTTTGACCGCGTTTCCCGCTTGAAATTTCCATCCTGTGTTTCGTTTGGAGATATCTTCACCATATTTGCTTCCCCTTGCCTTGTTTCTGTTGATCGGTGCTGTTTTTCTCCGTTATAATTACGGCTTTCTTGTTCCCGCTTTTTTCTACTCCGTCTCCCCATACGTTTCTGTAGCTCCAAGAGTTTTTTCTGCTCACGCGAAATCGTTTCGCGAAGTTCCGTCTCAACTCGACACATCTCGTCAAAACTTTGCGAATTTCCCCTGGCCCTGGGCGACGACTGTTTGTGGCTTTCATTTGCCGCGGGCCTCGCCGTGTTTGACCGCAGTATAAGCTCCTCCGTCTTCCTCCGGTGAACGAGCTCTTTTATCTTCACCAAACTTTTCGACACCTCGCTGAAAGAACGTGCTAAACATTCACCGTTTCCCTTCTCGTTTACGTTCGTTTCCGTGATGGCTTCTTCGTTTGCGGGTTTACTGCCTCGTTTGTAAACTTCCCTCGATTTCACCCCCTTCCGTGCTCTGAGTTTGTTGTTCTTGGCGGCGAGCGATGCAAAGACTTCGTCATTTCTGTATTCTGTTCTGTCGTATTCGTCAGACGGTCGTTTCTGGCGCTTGAATACCTCTCTTGATTTTACTCCCCTTGGCTTAGTCGAATAAGCATTTCCACCATCCCTGTCGACACCGTTTGCTTCATAGGTCGATGAAAATTCGACTGTACTTAACTTGCTTTCCTCATTCTTCGCGAAGGCAACACCGGTTCGGGATTTGCGATTTTTCTTTCGTAATTTGTCTTGTTCGCTATGGTTCTTTTGTTTTTGGTTGTTCTTAAAATAGTCGATTGCTTCTACTTTTTCCTTCTCGCCTCTTTTCCCGACAATTCTTGTCTTATCTCTTTGTTTACCTGTAACGAGTCGCACATGACGGTCAAGTTTGTAAACATTGATTGGGATTGCATTTGTTTTTCCACCCACGAGAAGCATAGGCCTAGCGACTAGACACGTTTTCACCTATTTCTTCACAAGCATCGTTTAGGAACATTGATTGACTCATGAACTACCGATAGATACGTAAAGTAAATATTTCAATTTCGATTCTTAAAAACAGAATAAATGATTCACCTTCGTAACGTGTGTTTGACGTGATCGGCGGGAGATCTACAACAGCATTGCAAGCTTCTGCTGCGAGCATTCTTCGATTCAAAAAAAATTCCCGTACGCTTCCTTTCTTGGGTAATATCTTAGCCCTCACTCTTGTCTCAAACAAAGCGTTCGCCTTCTGTTCCCTTTCCCGTAACAGCCTGGAACGGTAATCTTCCTGAAGCATTTCTAACCTCGTTGGTTTTTGACTGTCGGGTTTTGTCTTCCTCATCGTCGCATGGTTCTCCGTAAAATTTGTTCTGTAAAAGTTATATTCAGTTCCGTGGTCGAATAGCGTGTTGGCCATTTTAACACGGTTTGCCGTATGTTCTTTCAAGCACAACCAGCGATGATGTTGCCTGATAGAAATCACCAAAAATAAAAAAAGAATTAATACTTTAATAGGTATATCTCGCGAAGGAAATAATTTATAAATAAAAGTTCAACGCTGGTTCCATTTGAAGAGACTGCATGCCCACGCGGCTATTTGATTGTTTTGGCTCTTGTCAGTCTTGTAGATTCACATTGGATCATATTGGAGTTTGGAATCGAACCAGCTAAAACCACGGGCTTAAATTTGCACGGTTTCTTTCGCAAAAAAGCTTATGTAAACAGAGACTTGATGGGAATTCATGTTAGAACTCTTATGAACTTTGTGAGTATTAAACATATCTTACATGGACATACATATATCCAATTACAAAACATGAAACATACGATATACTTGACCCAAAATGGCTGCACTCTCGTTTAAAGTTTAAACCAAACGAAAACGACTAATTTCAAGCGTCGAAACAGAGGCAACTCTCTTATAACTCCTCACTCGACCTTGCGAGTCCTGACACGGTGTACATGTTGTTATTCCTAGGATGTTCTCTAACGGGTAACGGACAATTACGCTTCGGTCTATGTTTGAGCGTGCTTTTTAAGAGGATTACTTCGTTTCAAACAATTCAAAGCCGGATATCGTAATGTAATTGGTCCGAAGGCGTATTGGATTAGCACTATTGATGCAATGGTCTAAAAACGGAAAATTTTACTGTCTGGCTCGAGTACGAAGTACTTGATGACATACGGGCAACGTCATCGCCAGTAATTCATGGAAACTGCTCAGAGTCTGAGTTGAAACAACAATTTTTTTGGTAGGACGTGTAGGCTTAAATAAAGATGGTCCTTTATCATGCAAATGATATCCAAGACAAATTACGAGTGTCAGCAATTGCTAGTAAACATAAAACATTGTACTTCATATTCTGTGTTCACAGCAGAATACCATAGTAACCCACCGACTCGAGCCTTATCTGATTTCCAGATCCATTTTCATAATTTTTATCGCATATTTCGTCAGACATTGCCCTGTCAATGTTTCGTAAAACGTGTGCCGAAAGAACAGTAAAGGACTAGCCATCTCAAGGATGTTAAACATTCAAGGCAGCTTTCTAATAGTTATCATATAAACTCAGCGTTAAAAATAGTTCCAAATTCATCACTTGTTTTTCTCGGCCAGATGTTTCAGCGATAACTGAAATGATATTCCCACTCAATGATAAGATTTCAGTGGATATGAATTCGAATATTTTTATTGTATATCAAGGTCCTATATCATAAATCCTGTGGGACAAGTTTGCGCTTAAAAAAACATTAAATAGACCCATTAGCGAAAGTAGTTGTTCCTGGGAAATCGCATTTGACCGCGAAATTTTGCGGCGCCAATTAATCCAGATATGAGGTTCGTTCTGAAACCTCCCCGACTTTATTCATGTTAAATCACGAACATGCGTTAAATGCTGATTTACAGCAATTTAATTGTACTGGTTCAGACTCGAGTGACTTTGAACAATGCTTTTGTTATCCCCGGCAAGCGATTGGTTCAAATTAACGGCTTCTGCGCGTCGCTGCGCTGCAAGGCATGAAATAACGATAATTTTGACTTACTTTTGACTCTGAAAGCTTCAAGTTGGTCTGTAGCTGTATTGTTCATTACAGGTATTTCTCCGATGTTTTCAAAATACTTGCAGCCGGTAATATTATATAAATTCAGTTAATCTCTTCCGTAAACTCTGTTGCCTGGCGACGCGTAAACAATTTGCTCACGCGCTGGGGTCTTTTTTCCGACATGCGAAATCCTTTTCGGTCCACGCTCCGATATACAAGCTCCGGTATGGTATTTACCCCGGATCATCTATTTTCCTATTTAGGAAAATATTTTCAAAGGAAAACATGAGGAAATTTAATGGCGGGAAACGGCGGGAAAATCAATTCGAAAAGTGGAAACTTGTGTTCGAAATTCCAAATGTCCAAGAAAGCAAACAAAAATACTCCTGGAAAATCTCGGAAATCGAGCAGCGAATCAGCAAGAAATAGTTCTCAGAATCTTGGAAAAAGTCAATCAGGATACGACTATGCTGGAAGAGTAAGAAAATGTTGTTTAAGTTGGCATGAATGTGTGCAGAAATGGTTGAGTGAAAATAGCTGTGGCCTGGAGTTAGCCACGAAAATTGTGAATGGACAGCTGCAAAACTCGTAAGTAAATGTATTAATATAGATCATAATGAGTTGAAGAGTTCAAATAACAAAGGCTTGCTCTGCTGATTTCGAAGAGCATTTGATTTAAACTATTTCCTAATAATTAGCTTGCACAATTCATGTTTTTTTCCTTGTAATTTTTAGATCCTCTGATGAAGATGGTGTGGACGAAACATCCTCAAATCCTGTTGTGTTTGGAAATCCTGATGATGAGGATGAAGTGATTGTTAGCGACAAAGAAAAGCTTGTGAAAATATTTGAATCAATGGTGAGATGGGAATATCTTGTAGCAAGAACAAGGTAGCATGTTGCAGAGCCAGAGTTATAGCATCACTTGTTTGTGTTTAGAAAGACATACACAAAAAGATGTGTTCTCTCACTTCGAATTTCGAAGCTATATCCTCGCTTCGAACAATGAAAGAAGGTGAAAACCAATCTGAACAACCAGTCTTTGAGACATGGCCACTGGCCAACTATGGTTAGTGTGAAATTATAGTTTTATTTGTATTATATAAGTATATATAGGTTTAATTTATTAACTGCTTTTGTTTTGCAGTGAGCTTATCAAGAAAGCTGGCAAACATGTTTGAACAGGAGCTGAGGCTGAAAGAGAGGCTGGTTGCAATGGTTTTGAGAGAAGCAAGTATCGAAGACAGAAGTAAACTAATGGCATGTTTGGCCATGTGGTTGCACCAACCATATATAGATGACAAATATCGACAAGAGATAGAGCTCATGTTGTTGGAAACAGGACTGCGAACAGCATGAATAGTGCTAATCTAACATGAATCCACTGTTTAATATTTCAAGATAAATAAATCAATGCAAACCTACTAAATATTAAAAATATCTATTGCCACTTAAATTTCTGACCTTGACCCAATACCACAAACACAGATAGCAGAAATAGAGACGTTTTGTAATTGTATAGAATGACAGAAATACTGAAATACGTAGATTTTGCGCCCAGAATATAAAACATCAGAATATCTTCGGTATTTTGATCTTCGATTGTTAAAAAGTGGAATAAGTATTGCTTTATTAGGGTAATTGTTGCCCTCAGGTGGTGTGGATGACCTAGTCATAATGGCTAAAATTTAAAGCTAGGCATCTGATCCTTCGATAGCTCAGTTGGCAGAGCGGGGGACTGTAGAGGTTCAAATTGACATCCCTAGGTCGCTGGTTCAAATCCGGCTCGAAGGATATTTTTCTTCCACATTTACAAAATCTCTAAAAATTTTCTTTCTCTTTCTATCTTAGACATTTACTTATAAACTCCATTCACGTTATGTTTCATCGAAATCGTATTCTTATTCCTAAATTTTAAAACGAAAAAATATCACAACATTAAATCCCGAGTTCCGGACCCGGCCCAGTGCTTAGTCCTATCACGCGGTTTGTTCCGTTCTGTGCCAGCGGTACAGACAAAAGCGAAACAGCATTCAGCGGCCAATCTCTAAAAAGTACATATTTGAAATTTTTTAGATTCTTTAGATCTTTTAAAAGATTTATCTTTTAAATATTTGTTCGGAAAACGGGAAAAACTCTTGATATTACACCAAACTATGAGAGGAAAACAAACGATTTCGTTATTCGTTTTCATCGCTTTTTTATCAAAGCTTGGAATTAGCTTCTCTGCTAAAACGTGGCGGTAGGTTTAATAATTGTTGTTTTTGGCAATTGAAAAGGCTTTTTCCAGTGCTAAGCTCAAGGCAACTTAATTTGCAGTTATTATCCGACCGGGAGAAATCATCATGGGTATATTTCAACGAAAACTAAGGTATGTGTGCACGACAAGATGGAAAAGGATCGCAGCGGGTTTCAACAGCGGGTTTTTATTTTTAATAGTTTTAACTATAAACATTGATGTCAACTGTCGGAATGACACAAGAACGTGGGGAAACTTGTGGGGGGGTCTGGGCCGCCCAGAGAAATTGTGGGGCCCGGGGCAAAATTTTTTTGTGGGGCCGTATGACGTCATGGTTTTAAATATCTGCGAGGCATAAAGTACTTCAAAGCGTCGTGCAAAAGTTCTTCTTCGACCATTGTCGAGTTCGCCATAAAATGGCGAATTCGACCATAGCCGAGTCCTCCCGAAATTGCCGTATTCGACCCTGGTCGAGTCGGCCGGAAAATGGCGAATTCGACCATGGTCATATTCGCCGGAACATCGCAAATACGACCATGGTCATATTCGCCGGAAAATGGCAAATACGACCATGGTCATATTCGCCGGAAAATGGCAAATACGACCATGGTCATATTCGCCGGAAAATGGCAAATACGACCATCGTCATATTCGCCGGAAAATGGCAAATACGACCATGGTCATATTCGCCGGAAAATGGCAAATACGACCATGGTCATATTCGCCGGAAAATGGCAAATACGACCATCGTCATATTCGCCGGAAAATGGCAAATACGACCATCGTCATATTCGCCGGAAAATGGCGAATTCGACCATGGTCATATTCGCCGGAACATCGCAAATACGACAATGGTCATATTCACCGGAAAATGGCAAATACGACCATGGTCATATTCGCCGGAAAATGGCAAATACGACCATGGTCATATTCGCCGGAAAATGGCAAATACGACCATCGTCATATTCGCCGGAAAATGGCAAATACGACCATCGTCATATTCGCCGGAAAATGGCAAATACGACCATTGTCATATTCGCCGGAAAATGGCAAATACGACCATCGTCATATTCGCCGGAAAATGGCAAATACGACCATCGTCATATTCGTCGGAAAATGGCAAATACGACCATGGTCATATTCGCCGGAAAATGGCAAATACGACCATGGTCATATTCGCCGGAAAATGGCAAATACGACCATGGTCATATTCGCCGGAAAATGGCAAATACGACCATGGTCATATTCGCCGGAAAATGGCAAATACGACCATGGTCATATTCGCCGGAAAATGGCAAATACGACCATGGTCATATTCGCCGGAAAATGGCAAATACGACCATGGTCATATTCGCCGGAAAATGGCAAATACGACCATGGTCATATTCGCCGGAAAATGGCAAATACGACCATCGTCATATTCGCCGGAAAATGGCAAATACGACCATTGTCATATTCGCCGGAAAATGGCAAATACGACCATCGTCATATTCGCCGGAAAATGGCAAATACGACCATGGTCATATTCGCCGGAAAATGGCAAATACGACCATGGTCATATTCGCCGGAAAATGGCAAATACGACCATGGTCATATTCGCCGGAAAATGGCAAATACGACCATGGTCATATTCGCCGGAAAATGGCAAATACGACCATGGTCATATTCGCCGGAAAATGGCAAATACGACCATCGTCATATTCGCCGGAAAATGGCAAATACGACCATGATCATATTCGCCGGAAAATGGCAAATACGACCATGGTCATATTCGCCGGAAAATGGCAAATACGACCATGCGAGTTGGCAAATACGAGTTGGCCGGAAATTGGTGAATTCGACCATGGTCGAGTCTGCCTGAAATTGGCGTATTCGACCATGGTTGAGTCTGCTGGAGATTGGCGTATTCAAGCATGGTCGAGTTCGCCGGAAAATGGCGAATTCGACCATGGTCGAGTTCATCGGAAATTTGCGTATTCGACCTTGGTCGAGTCCGCTGAAAAATGCCGTATTTGACCATGCTCGAGTGTACCCGAAATGTGTCATTGTCTTTGATTTTAGTTTACTCTAGAGCACACTGGATCGAGTGCGGAGTGGATTTCAAAACGCTGGTTTTCTGAAGAACATTGTATTGTACAGAACAGTACCTCTCCAAAAGCAACAGCAGTTTGCTCGATCGCTGGGTACCACCCCTTCGGGATTCTTGATCAATTTTTTAACAAGATGGTAACTGTCTGATCAGTTTGTTATTTTGCCAGAATGCCTGGATCATTTCATTCCTATTTCCAAATCATTTGCAAGAACACCAATTTTTGCTATTTTCATTTACAATAGGACGTTGAAAATATCCTTGTTATCAAAACTCCGTATTGTTACGAGTGGCATATCGCATTGTCTTCAACTTTTGATAACAGATCTGCAAGATCTGATGGGTAATGCTTCAACACAGACAGTATTTGACTGAGAATTCGCATCACATTTTAAAAGATTTTGAACTTTTTTTCAGTTCTTTTCGCCTGAAATTTGATCTGTGGATCCAAGAACGAAGCGAGTTTGAACAAAAAAGCACCAGTCTTTTTCCGTCAAAGGTTGTATCATTTGAGATGTGATATAATCACGCTATTATATGATTCTGAAATATCCTTTTTGAGCTGGTCCTCTTCCAGTAAAATTGTATTCATATATGTTTCTAGGCTTCCAAACGCGTGACCAAACTATTCCACCAAGTCGGTCAAGAACCCTCGATCTCGGCTTCAGTAGGCTATTCAAATGACAAAATTCCATTCGTTTTTAAAGACGTTGAATTCTCTTCGAATGACAGGTGAGTGGTCCGTTTCAGTGGCGTGGCCAGCATCGATAATATGTGAGACTCACATTTTATATTAACGTTTACTAACCGTAAAAACAATTGAATAATGTAGTGTTTGGAATGTCAACCTTGTCCTGTCAACATTAGAGTTGGTGAAGATCAAAGTGGATGAGTCAACTGTTGGCTTACTCGATTGCTTTATAAAGTAAGTGCGTCCAGGGACCATGGCCCAGTTGCATACTGAAAGGCTAGTTAACTTTTAACTGTAGTTCAGGACAGAATTGGCCAATCAGAGTCATGTATTTCTGAGTTTACTAGGATTTAATTGCATGAGCAAAATATAGTGAAAGTGTTTTATACAACCCGCCCCAGAATGACACTCTTAATCTCCAACACAGTTCAATAACATGCCTTTTGTAATATAAATTTCATTCCAGGGCAACTACATTTGAGATTCCAGACAAGACATTCGCTGTGGCTAAAATATTGAATATTTCCCAGGTAAAGAATAAGTACGAAACCAAACAAGTTTTATATAGTATTTCGGCGGTTGATGCCCAAAGTAGCGCTTTTTTTATTGCAGTTTTCACAAAATGATGGACTGAAACTGATCCAGGATGACTGTAGTCCTAATGTTTTGATTATTGCTAGGTCAGTTGAGCATTAAGAATTACTAAAATGAACTGAAATATGTTAGCATCAAATGTGGTATAACAACTGCCTAAATAGACAAAACACTTCTCGACGTTTCGACCGGAGGGCCTTCGTCAGGAGAGTAACTCTCCTGACCCTCAGGTCGAAACGTCGAGAAGTGTTTTGTCTATTTAGGCAGTTGTTATACTACATTTGATGCTAAGTTGTTTGAAGACGCTGCCACGCTGCTCCTTGGTTACATTGGAACGGAAATATGGTTTATAATATATCATTATATAATGCCTTCTAGGAACGATCATTTACTATGGACTGATGACTACTTTGACACGAGCTTGGCATTGGTTGTCCCGCAACATCTGCTGTCTGTAAGTACGGTTACCTCCTTAAGTTAACATTCATTGCAATGGTACTGCTGAACCTTGATGATGACGTTCAAAACACGACCAACTTATCAAAAATGATTGACCACAAAATTGAAATATACTTCTTTGTAAGTTCGCTGTTTCATTCTTACTTCAGAGTACACCAAATGGTTATAAATCGATGTTCACTCGTCTGAGAAATCTCCTTATTCACACTGGTCAGGAAACTTTCATGGTGGACAAAAATTCTTCACAGATCTCTTTAATAGAAGGTACAGACTGCTCTATTACCAGGTATAGTAGACACTTGTCGAAGTGTTTCCATCAAAGTGTTTTCGTCTTTGGGGGTTTTTCCTGGAAGTTCTCTTCCTGAAGCGTTTTTTTCTGGAAGTTGTACTTATCACCGTCTTTGACGCTGCAATCTGTGGCAAAACCCCCAAACCAAGGATCAGTTTTTGGTGTTAGGATTAAACGGACTGTTAGGTATCTTTTATAGCTACAAGCCCCGCAAGCCAGGCTTTTC